AGGAGGAATAATGAGGAGGAATAACGAGGAATAATGAGGAGGAATAATGAGGAATAATGAGGAATAATGAGGAATAATGAGGAATAATGAGGAATAATGAGGCATAATGAGGAATAATGAGGAATAATGAGGAATAATGATGACGTTGTTGATGTTTACAGATCTGAAGTCTTGATTTCTCTGTAACACTGCCCCCTGGTGGAAATCATCAATAAAGCTGAATCCTGAGTTAAACTCAGTTTCCTGTTTTTTTACTGATTATTCTGTCGGGTCTAAAAGCAGCATTTCATTGTTAAATTGTAATATGGTCTAATACATTATAAATATAATCTAATATAAACCAAATCCTAGAATGGATTTGGTCTATAGTTGGGCAAAACTTAACATTTTAAGACATCAAACTTTATAGCATTAAATTTAAGACTTAAACTATTTAAGTTTAATTTTTTGCCAAACTTTGGTTCCCATGTTTTTGTAACTCAACCCAGATGTGAAGATAAAATGTTAGTTTGTAGGAACTTTCAGTCCCAAGTCTGTAATTCACATGAAAATATCAACATTTTATGTTGAACAAAATGAGTCTGAAATTTCTCTTATTCAATTTTAGTTTGTAGATGTTTAAACTTTTAGATCCTAACAATTATAAATTGTGACGACTGTAAACTTAACTGACTTGTAACTTAGAATTTTAATTTTTAATTTCCCTGATCCACTTAAAGATGAAAGTAGTTAAAATGCTTTGAATCGTGGCGTTTGCCAAATCTTTGTCTGGTTTTGTATCTTTACATCATGTTGTTGTTCCCTCATCAAAACAAACCTGCAGTTTTGCCTTGATTCTTTCATGCATGTTTGTGAAATCCTGTCATCTCCATGGCAACCATCCGGGTTGCCATGGAGATGCTTGCTCTCACTTTGTGAAGCTCCTCCCACTCGGCTGGCTGGACCAGGGAGTTTCTGACAGAGCATCGCCTCTCCTGGGTCATCATGTCAGTCCATGTAAGAAACCACAACTGTTAATATTTTATAGTGCTGTGCAAATAATAATTGTCTAACATCACACAAAAATATTTTGAAATTCTAAAAATAAAGCAATGCTAACCTAGCTTAAAGCTGCAATTTTATAGAAAATATTTTTTCCATGTGTTGAAGCTGCCACCATGTTGTGACAATAGGAGAGGAATATTCAGAATATAACCCTGATATCTGTGGTTTATTAAAGGAAACATTAAATAAATGAACAGGATTCCCTAAAGGAAAAAGAAAACTGGCATAAAAAGGATGAAAAATAAAGAAAAAGTAAATCATTTTACAAAACTTTAAAATTGAAACTGTCAAGTTTTAGATGTAAAAATGAGTGAAGTTTCCCTCTGCTCACTGCGAGCCGTCCCAACCAAAGTTCAGTATGTTTACATTTTAAGACACATTTACAGTGAATCTGAAATAACCTGTCAGAAAAAACTACAGTCAGGTGCTCAGATTCTGACAGGCCAACCTTTGTTAACATTGACGTTCCTATAATAGTATAAATGAAAACGCAGAAGGGAAATGAAGTATTTATTTATTCAACAGATTATTTCATATCTATATGAAATAATCCCTTTGAGTTTAACTGTCAGTTCAAGCAGAAATTGCTTTTCACTGGGCAGGAAATGGGCCTTAATCACGTTTTGACAGAAAATCCCCTCATGTTTATGGGATTTTATTTGGTGTTAGAATGCATCCTGTCTTCAGGTGCATGTATAGCATAAGACTACATATGC